ATGCCACTGCAAGGAGCTGCTTCTCTTGATGAACAACAACTTTCACAATCTTCTTGAATTCACAGTCATTAGAGGATTACGTTAATTTTTATGTAGGTTGATGGCATTTAGATAGAGAAGAGTCCTGCAAGTTGTCTTCCCAGTTATGTAATGAAGCTTTTGCATTACTTATGAGTGTCATTAATTATGTTTCAGCTCAGGAAACTGCCTAGATGTCACATGTTAACAGGAACAAGTAGAACTGAAAGTTGAGGGGAAGAAAAGAAAACCAATCCAGAGGTCAATATGGGAAGGAAAAGAAAAGCCAGTTATCAGGACACTTCATGGAGTTACTCAGACTGTTCAGATATATCAGCAGGTGGAGAAGATCCTGATAGGAAAACTGTATTTTGATAGCACTGTCACAAAGTTTAGGCTTAGTTAGTAGCCTACAGCTTCATGCAACGAAACTAATCACATTTCTGTGATTAGTAAGGAAATCTGCAGACGACATTCTGTTAGTAAGGAATTTGACTTGCTCAGTGAAAAAACCCAACCAAAACAACCAACCAAAAAACCCTACCAAAAAAAAAAAAATAAAAGAGGGATTTTTTAAAACATTAGGATTGATGTGAGGACTTTCAGTCAAGTCATGTGAAGGTTGTGTCACTGCTAAAATGAGGTATTAAATAGTATGAGGATCAAAGAGGAAAAAGGATATGAAAGTAGACTGTTAGAAGAATTTGTTTGAGCTGTGAGACAAAACAAAGGTCAGCTGGGTTTCAGGACAGCAGAATGGATCACAGCTTGAGATGGATGCTACAGGACATAGTAAAAAAGCCCCAAAAACCTGCAGGAATTTTTAACAGAAAAGCAAACTGGAAGTTGCAAGGGTCTATCTGACTGCAAAATGCAGTCAGAAAGAGCCTGCAAGAAGCAAGAATAAAAGGATGAGCAAATTGTTTAAGCAGAGACCAGTGTGACTTCCAACATCTTCTTTGGACTTAGTAAATAGAAAATGATATTGAAAATTAAATACATTTAAGGAGACCACAGCTGAAGATACATACCAAGAAAAAATATTTACAGAACACACTGTCATGGGGTAGCTTTACCTTTAAGACAGCTTGGAGGGAGAGGAAGTTGAAGCTGCTGGTGGCTGATGGGAGTTTTTTCTGAAAGAAAACTCCTTGAGAGTGAGTAAAGACAAAGCTTTCTCCAGTGGTGGGGAAATCACGTGCAGACATTTCCCAAGTATTTCTTAGTTGAACACTGGAACACCGATTAATGGGCCCTCTGACATCACTGTAAACCATCTGGAAGGGAAATCTAAGCTTATTAAGAACAGATGGATAAGAACCAGGTCACCCTTCCCTATTGCTCCTATTTGTAAGCTAGATGTAAAAGTAACCTTGTAAAGACAGTTTGAGCTGCTCTGGGAAATCACGCCTAGGATTCAACAAGCCAGACAACAGGCACTGAAAAAGAACAGGAACAACTAGAAAAAGCTGTTTCCTGAGACCTGTCTCCTACAGGCCCCTAACTAAAGACTCCTGCCCTTCCCCGAACCTTCAGCCCCCATCATTACCAGTGATCTGGGTTCATTATTCCCTCAATCTAGAAACAGCCTTGTTAAATAATGCAATTGTTGAGCATGTCATGCCAAGAACAATATCTGTGTTTTCTTCACCTGGCACCCATACAGTGGTCATGCCAGGTTATGGGGCTCAGGTTGATTTTTAACAGTTTGAATGTTTTGGAAAATAATATGTCATTCAGCATGTTCAATCAAGCATTAGGTTTCTGCAGTTTAATCATCCTGTAATAAATTCTGTCAAAATTGTTAAAAAGGTTTCTTAAAAATGCTGAGAAGCCAAACTTGGCACCAGTAAATGAAAAGAAAGCCTGAAAACTTGCTGAGGTGTTATTTAATATAAAGCCTAGACCAGTTGCATGAGTATGTAACCAACTGTGTTAAAGCTAGGGATGCTGTGAAGCCCTAAGAGAACCACAATAAAATCAATTAGAAGTACCTTATGATGGGAAGATCACTTGAGCTAACATCCTTGCAGGCAGAGACAAGGACAGTACATTTGAACAAATCAAAAAAATACATTATTTATGTGAGTACAAAATGCATCCATTGATCCTTCTGAATTGTTGCTGGTTCCTGAAAAGCAATTGCTAAAGGGATTACTGGAGAAGCTGCAGCCTGTCCGGGAGATGACACAGAGAGGCTGCTGCTGCAGAACAAGCACACTCCAGCACCTGCCCATCCCATGTCAGCCTGGCTGACACTGGAAGAAGCAAACCCCTCAGAAAAAGTTTGGCTACTCACTGTGTTCCTCAGGCCAGACCTTTTCCATCACCAACATGGTGACTGTGAAACTGTCAGTCACATGCACGAGTCAGAAACAACCCTTTCTCAACAGATCTTATTTTATTTTCAGGAAAAAAAAAAGTGAATGAAAAGCCAGTAGATCATGCTTAGTGTCTGCCAACTAGCACAACATGCTGCTGATGGCTTGCAAGCATTTCTCATCTGAAAGGGTGCTGAGGAATGCTTTCTGGTCAGTAGTTTGAAGGCACCCAGGTGCTGCAGAGGCAGCCAGAGGTTCAGGTTGGGAAGAAGCTTTAGCAAATTTATGACACTGAACAGAAGTCCCATGAAGAAGTATTCATAGATTAAGTTACTTTTCACTTTTACTAGCAGATCCTGTTCTCAGTGCCTCATTGGCAGAAATATCCCTGAGCCTTTTAGTTTTAGATTCCCAGATCTATTGGGTTAGAGGTTCAGGATCATCTTATGCAAGCTAAAAATCATGCTGCAGCCTGCTCAGCTCTTTGCTGGTGTCGACACAAGCAGAACTGGAAACCGCTCATGCTGAACACCATATTTTGGGTTTAGGTTTTGTGGGGCTTTTGGCTAGGTCAGTTTTCAAGTAAGTGAATGCCCTGCATCTGTTCCCCCCCATCCAGCAGTGGCACAGGGGAAACAGCAGCAGCACCCACCTGGAGGCAGAACTGCTCCTTTGGGCAGTGGCACAAAGGGAGAGTCCAGAGGGTGACCCTGAAAGGGCTCCTCAAGGAGAATTTCCATGTCAGATCCAGTACTCCAGCACCTGCAGTGCCACACCACTGCACACTGTTGGAGCTGCTCACGCCAGATCCTGCCTGATCTTCTCAATGTAACACCCAGCACCTAATTCTGGAGGCAGATGGAGGCTGTGAGAAACTCTCCCTGCAGTCAGAAATAGTTTTGACTTACTGGAAAATCTCATTTTCTTCCAAACTGTGCATGTTTGCACCTGTCCTCTGTTCTCTGCCTGGTTTCTTCTTTTTCAGATCAACAACCCCCCCTTTTCCTGTGGCTGTCCTGCTTCTCGGCAGGCTTTTCCTTACCTTCTCCTGCCTCTGAGGAATTTGGCTATCATACTCTGAAGACCACCTTGCTGGAAACAACTCTCTCCCACATGATGAGTGGTTTCTTCTGTCATGGAGGAGAAGAATGGGGGAAGATGATTTATACATGGGCATAATTCCACAGAGTATTTTGTATAATAGCAAAACTCTTCCCAAACCCTCCATCTCCCTGCCCTTGTCTTGCCCAAAGGCTGTATGTCCAAGCCCCCTTAAGTTGATGAAGCCATGGAGGAAATCTGTGGAATGTTGCAAGGACCAATGCAGGGTGACAGCTGAAAATGGTCGCCATTCAGTCCCTTCTCATCCACTTCAAGTGACTTTCATTTTTACTTCCTGACTACCTGGAAAGTTCTCTGCTCACCTGTGACTGACGAGACTCGATAACTAATTTGCAAAAGAACAATCTTTAGGTTTCTGCAAAAGCAGTGAGACATGGAAGTGCATGAATTAGTGCATCTTAGGGACTTACTGCAGTCTTTCCAAATTCTCTAAAGGCACTGATTAAGCCTGAAGATAGCAGCTTTAGGAAAGCTGATGAAATCCTACACACAGCCCTCCTCTTGGTTCCTCCCAGCTATGGCACACACAAGTGAACCATTTGTGACTCCTCTTCTAAATTACAACTTATACATCACAACTGTTTTAAAATAAGCCATTTATTTTTGTTTCCATGCTATCAGTCATCCCGAATGTTATCCCATTATCCACCAAGTTTCAAGTACTATGCCATAATTCAAGCTTTCCCCACTGTCCATCCTAGCTGGAGTACACAACACCAGGGAACTTCTCCATCATTGGGAGTGCCAGGCAGTAGCAGGGTGATCCAGAACAGCCAACACCAGTGTCAGCCTGCAGGGTGGCAAGGAGGTGGCCGTGCCAGCAGCCAGCCCTCACAAAGCCCCTGTGTCTCACCACTCACTGCTGCAGGAGCTGGCTCCACAGCCCTGGTGGGACACTGCTGTGTGCCCTTATTCAGCCCACCATGGACTTCCTTGTTGCTGGTGTCATGGCATTGGGGGAATCTAACTTCAGCAGCTACCATATCCCTGCTTTTCTTGACCTAAATCCAGTGTGGACAGAGGAAGGAGTGAGTGCTACAGAGACATGCAGACTTGACACAGCAGAACAAGGTAAGAAGAGATGTCAGCAATGTGACCAGGAAACAAAGCAAAGTTCTTTGCCAATATTCATTACAAAGCCTTTAGGATGCAGGAGTTTCCTGTTATTTACTTGAAAGGCAGGCCATAATTCCTCTCTTGACCACCATGATGTAGGTACTTTCACTTTTCCTTCCACATTCCCTGCCCAGCCTCCCTTTGGCATATCAGCACCATTACAGGCAGGAATCAACCCCTAGGTGAACATATCAGTGGTTCAAGGTCATTTTTACCTCAGCAGGTGTCACAGTATGCAAGGCAGGTATGTCCCCATTCCAGGCTAGACAGATGGTGGATGGTAAAGATTAGCACTGGTTATGGGGAAAAAATCGCCCCTAACAAAAAACTATGCCCCCAAAGCCATCAGGGGATTGGTACTAGTTCATTGCATTACAAAGTGTTCTAAAGCTACAACTAAAATTAAACAAACATTAAAAAAAATGTACTGAAGAGTAATTTATTCAGCGTGAATTCAAAGGACATTCCACCATTCATTACAGGACCACACAGCTGGTCTCAGTGCTGTACTCCAAGATATAGGCAGGGTAAACTTGTTGCTTCTCAAAGATGACAAAGATGGAAGGATCTGTCGGGTCATCCACGCAGCTGTCATAAAGTCTGTTTGAATTTTTGGCTCTGGGTGGAGGGCGGCAGTACTCAGGGTTCCCCTGCACAAAGTCTCCAACAAGAACCTGGGCTACGAACATTCTGTAGCGCCCACTGTGAGAGGAACAGTACTCGTGGGAATAGCTGGCATCCCTGGCAAAGTAGCTTCCTAGGGAGCAGAAAAAGCTGCAGGTCAGAAAATACACCAGCCAAGGGACAAACACGTGATAACAGCACTTTGGCAGCCAGCAATTCAACAGCCCCAGCTAGCCCTACAACATGTGGGAACATTCTTGCCAGGAATTCCCAAACTGGCTTATTGTAAAGTACCAACAAACTCCAGTCTGCATTTCGCCATCCACCTCCCATCACACCTGTCCAAGAGCAGGTACCTGAGGCAAAGAGAGGTGGTTTTAGCCCTTCCTGGGATGGGATTGCTGTGGGTGCTGGGTGATGTACACAGGTGAGGGTGCCTTAAAGGCAAGAGTACATGGGTGTCTCACTCTGCACCCACATCCCCCTCTGCAGTCCCTGCTGCTACAGCCCCTACACCCTTCTGCACTTGTACCTTTTCCATACATCGTCCCATGAGTCCCACAGAGTCTCCAGTCAAAGTTCTGCTCACAGATGGCAGACACATGGGATGGACTTGTGCCATGGAACAGGAGCCTCTCGTTTACCGCTTTCAATTGATGGAGCTTCCTCATCTTTTCTTTTTGCCTAGAGACAAAATAAAACCAAAAAAACCAAACAAAAAATCCAAACAAACAAACAACAAAATTACTTGTTATCCTGGTTCAAACAAGGAGAGTTTCCCAACTCAACTCTTCCTATTTCTGGGTTATGGAGGAACAGTGACACCACTCTCAGTGGGGTTACTGCCTGCTTTGCGCTTCTGCTGGTACCCTGCTGCACAGCTGGCTCCTGCCAGCAAAACAAAAAGTTCTCAGCATCACTATGGACTGTGTCACCCACAACTTCATACCACATGAGAGAGTAAAGAGACAAACATCTCTTGACTGGGAATTGGTCAGTTCCCATGTTACATAAATCCTGAATATAAAAATATGATTATAAAACTGAGCTGTATGAAGCCACAGTGAAGACTGTATAATCTCTGCCCCTTTATCACAAAAAATACCTCTCCTGTTTTTTTCTTTCTTTTTTTAACTCCTATGTGGAAGACACTAAAACCAAAAGAATAAACCTGAAACACCAAAGCTCAGTTATGATGAAGGAAAATAATTTGCTTTTTTGAATAACACTAGCAGGAATCACACACACATCTTGCTAGGGATAAAAGGCCCATTTCTACACACACAAAAGAACACAGATGCAACCTTAACAGCCCAGTCACAGAAAGACGTGCCCCAGTCTCCTTCCAGGACTGCCCCAGGGAAGCCTCAGCCTCAGAGACCCAGGTTTTGGGGCAGTCATAAATCTGGGCCACCAGCCAGACCTGGGAAGAGAGATACACGGCAGCCTCGCCTCTGCTGGACTGCTGAATTTGGCGGCTCCAAATGTAGTCTATGGAGGACAACTGATCAGGAAATACCAGTCTTCTCATACAGTAAGGATAATGAAATAAAATAGATACAAACCACTGAAAAATGTCCCAAAGTGTTGGGTTCTGGATCCTCTGGAGTTGGTTGATGCAGTAATTTTTCATTGTCTTCTCAAATAGACTCTTGATTTTTCTATATTCTTGGGAATCGTAACTGAGCTGTATCAACTGAAAATTTTTAAAACATTAAAAATAAGGTATTAGTAAGAGTATAAACTCCCAGTCCTTCCAAAGGACTCATCAACCTTCTCACATCTGCTGAAAAGCCCTACCAGAAAAATCACAAGCTGCTCCTGGTTTTCCTGTTAACCCTCCTTTACCATCACTCCCCATGGGGAAGCCCAGGCGCCGACTGAGGGAAATCAGTGCAATCCCATGAGAGCTTCCTTTAGAGGACACACCTCCACAGCTGGACTACTTTTAGTTCAGAGTAAACTGAAGTTGAAACACACAGCAATATTCAGGCTGAAGCAGAGAGAAAGCTTCACCTGACACTCTAGCTCCTTCCCTACAGGGCTAAGCTGCAGTTTTACTACAGCAAGTAACATCCTGCCCCAAACTGAGAGAAGAAATGCCCCCTTCAGATGCAATTAATCTGCTTTGTCAGAGGATGAAGTGCCTTGAGAGAGTGCAAAGGACAGGTATGAGCAGCAATGGCCTTTTTTACCCTGTATGGCATCATAGGGGATCTCAGTGAGCCTCCCAGGAAACGCATGTCTATTCTGAATATTAAACTATTGGTCATGTTTCACATCATAGTTGCTTATTTTACAAGATACATTTTTAAAAGCTGGTAACATCTCAACTGCCTTGAATTATGGTCTTGGAAAAATCAGTACAGGACAGAGGTCTCCCCATCCACTGGGGAGCTGGAAAGTCCTACCTTGAACCCGATGTCAGGTAGAGCAGTTTTGTCCCACTGTGGAGGATAGACAGGATGCAAGAGAGTCGTGTTTTGGCTACAGAATAGAAAAAGGAGCCAGTCAGCTGGTGATAGTCCTAACCAAATCCCCCTTCTGGAGACTTTAACCACAGGCTCTAAAGCACCCTTCAGGCATCCATTCAGGAGCTACAGTGTGTTTGCTTTTTGAATGAACACACCTTAGGTTGAACCAGCACTTTATTTGAACCTTTAGCTTCACATGCACTGTCTTCTGGTGACTTTCTAAAGCAGAGACGGCTCTTATTAAAATAAATCAGTACCACAAATAACATTTATAGCAGATGTGTTCAAATTCTGTTAAGGTGAACTTCTCTTAGAAAAAGCCGTAAGATAGGGTATCTCAAGTAAGTGCCCCTAATTCACTTCATTTCAGTGGATTTGCCTGTTCTGAGTTTTAGTTTATCCTCAGCTTTTCAAGGGATGACATCCATATGCACCACAGCTCTTGGGATTGGCAGTGCCTCACTCCTAATAGCTGCACAGTTTATTTATCAGTTTTGGGGCATAAATCAAGGAATAAAAGCTCCTGGCACAGTTGTGTCAGCCCTATGCGGCCTTGCCTCTCACAGAGAGAGCAGATCTACTCCAGTGGTCTCTCACAGCTGCCAGAGACTGCCACCAAATGTCCCTCCAGACAGCTTTACAGAAGCATTGCGTAATTCACAAATACTGTCACTGCAAAATGTCGGTCAGGAAAATAATGAATTTAATAAATACATATTCATTTTAGGAATAGAAATGAATTTAAGAAATACAAAATAGCATTCTAGGCAGGTAGGAGGAACTTCTTAGCAGACAGGTGCTGTCCTCTAGAGACATTGTTAAACAGTGAATGTGCATTACCTTCCATCTTGTCCACCTTCAGGCTGTTTAGGCAGTCGAATAACACTTCTTTGAGTTTGAAAGAGCAGATTTGTTTGGATCATGTCTTGAAGAAAAACACAGTAACTCAATAATGAGATAATTCATTGTCTAGGGACAGGCTCTTAAATATTAGGTAAAAATAAAAGAGGAGATAGCCTTGAATATTGCATTGTGGAGCTCTCTCTATCCCACCCACCCCAGTTCAAACTTCATTCCCTCTTGCACTGCTCCTACTTGGAGATCAGCAAGGTTAACCACTTATTAGCACAGGTTGTGAAACTTGAAGGCAACCAAGCACTAACTGCACCTGCACTGGTATTCACATCCAGACTGCTGGCCTGAGAAAACCATATCTGATGGCAGGCCTGCAGCAGAAAAGAATTTTCAGTGCAATGGGGCCACAAACCTGGCTTTCCTGGCAGCACAGGGCTGCTCCATGGTGCTAAAAGGGAAGCCTGCCCTCTCTTCTTAGTCCTGTAACAATATCACAGAGAACATGCTATGTGACATGGCTAATTATCCATTGTTTCGTCCTTTAAGTACCACTCTTTATTCATGCCAGGAAACATTAAAAGTTTGGAAAGCTAACAGGAGTTTTAAGACGGGTAAATAAATTAGAAACAGAAAAGCATTTCTCATTTCCCCATTTCTCTCTCTCTGTGCAACCAGCCCTAAATTTGTGTTTGCTGCACAATTCTTTCTCTCCTGTAAGTAGCTTGCAAGATGTTCACCGTAGGCTCACTTCTTCACCTTTTGACTTTTCAGTGGTTTTTTTTGGTTTTTTTTTTTTCTCATTTCTCATTCCTCCTTTTCAGGTGTATAAACCCAAATGTGTAAGCCAAGGTGCCATGAAGCATTTATTCTCAACTCTTCTGAATGTACAATATTTCCAGGTATATTTTTTTGACTACAGATGCCCAAGTGAGAACTCCAAGTGGAGCATCCCAAAACTGCAGAGAAATTTACCTACTGCTCAAGTTCTGCTTGGAGAAAATTTGCAGGAGGAAGGAGAGCTGTTTGAAGAGATACAGACATTGTGTGAAAACATTCAAGCCAGATGCTCTGTGTAATGAACTTAAAACAAGGAGATACTTCACCTGCAAAGTCTAACTTATACTTCTGAGAACCAGCCCTGAAAAAAATAACACCATTCTTGTCAGCTAGATATTCCTTCTCCAGAAATGCAGATGTTACAGTGGCAGTGGCATGATCTGGGTGCTGCAGAAAGAACAAGGAAATTATACATGTTAGAAACCACCCTTCGGTTTAGGTGTCACCGTGGGGAAATACCAATGTTTTCCCCAAGCCCCTGTGACAGGATGATGTTTTATAATAAGTCTCTATGGCTTCATGCATTTTGTTCTACAGCAATGGAGGGGTACCCCACTGAGCACAGCTGCTTCTAACAACAGCAACAAAGCAGCCTTCAGCCTGTGTGGTCAGCTCCAGCCAAATGATGTTTGTCAGCTCTGGAAAATGCACCCACTTTCAAAGCCAGTCCCTTGAAAGCTTTCACAGAGTTCCAGTCCTGCTTTGAGGGACAATTAAAAAGACAATTCCACACAGGCATTGGAGCAGCACTGCAAGGGCACCCAGCGGTGCGTGTAGAACACACCAGCTGCAGAACAACGCGCTCTAAACAACTCTCCAAAGATGGCTTAACAAAAGCTTTTGGCATGAACAGCAAATGAATTTCACCTCTTTCCCGTACTCAATCCACTCCTTGGAATCATCGAGCCAATACCAAACATATTCCATTTCAGGAGCAGACAGATGGGTCAGGAGACAACTCAAGTGCAGAAGAGCAGATGGGCACCTGGCTGCTTGCTCTGCCCTGCATTGGAAAAGAAATCCAGATCAAACTAGATGTCTTTTCCAAAGCTGCCAAGTTGTGCAGTATCTCTGGTCTGATCAGAAATCTATTCACTTCTCAAAAAAGGAGACCCCCTCCTGGAAAGTGCAGGTTTGCCCCAGAACTGAGGAACTGGTATTTGGATGTTTACAGGGCATGGTAAACACCACAGTAAAAATCAGCAATGACCCTGACTGCTCTGGCTTGGACCTGTGCCACTGATTTTCCCTAAAATATATCTTCCTAAAAAACACCTTTAAGAAAGTACATTTGACACAAAGATTCTCCTGCAGCCCACAAAGAGACAGCTGTTCCCCTGAAGCCTGTGGAGATCCATGGAGCAGAGATTCACACTGCAGCCCATGGAGAAGCCCATGCTGCAGCCTGTGGACAGGCCCCGAGGGAAGCTGCAGTCCATGGAGAAGAACCCGTGCTAGAGCACATTTATCCTGAAGGACTGGAGCCCATGGGAAATGAACCATGCTGAAGCATGGGAAATTATGAGAACATTGGAGGTGTAGATGGCAAATCTTAGAGACTGAGGACAAAATCCATTTCCCTTCCCCTCTGTGATCCTTTGGTAGGAGAGGGTAGAAAAGTCAGGAATGAAGGAGTGAAGTTGAACCTGGGAGTCCAGCAGGATGGGAGAGGGGAAGTAGGAGATCTAATTTTCTTTTCTCACAATTTAAATCTATTTTAACTGGCAATAAATTAACTTCCCCCAAGTCAAGTCTGTCTTGCCCAATGTTCACCTTGGCTTTATCTCAAATGATTAATTTTCCCATCCTATTTTCTCCCTGCTGAGGATAGGGAATGAGAGAGCAGCTCTCACTTGGAGTAGGGGATATCATTACTTACCAGCAAAGTCTCTGCTCTGCACTCTATCCTAGACACAGCACCTACAAAGAGAAGAACATGAAGCAGGTAGTCACTGCTAATTCCAACTCATAGGATTTTACTTAGCATCCTTGCTGTGCATCACTGTTCATTTAATCTCCCAGTTTTGGACTCAGACGACACTTTTTTAATGTATCTCACCGATTTACTGCCCCTACAACATTACCTATCATGGATCACATATCCATAGCCAAAAGCCGCCAGCCGTTGAGCTTCCAAGAGTCTGTGACAGAGCTGCTCTAAGCTGCCTGAAGAATCTGAACACGATATTGAAACAGAAACTGGAAATGATCACATGTCCAGCTCTGATGCCCTTTGTTCTTTAGCAGGATCAAGGGTATTCAGAGCAGGCCAGTGAGAGGAAATCTTTACAGGAGCAGTTCCCTCATAGAGCTGTTTACAGTGCAAAGGTCCACAAAACAAAGGCGTGGCAGTCCTGGACTGCCGGGACAAAAAGTGAGGAAGAACCCGGGTCTCCTTTGCAGACAGACCTTGTTCCAGCACTATCTGTGTACACAGTAACACTGGCCAGGCCTGCTCCTAGAAAAATGCTCCAAATTCTTCTTCTTCTCTTGTATTGCAGGGCGTTCAAGAGATCCAGCACAACCATGAGATTTATTGGACATGGCTGTCCCTGTTTTCCCCTCTGCACAGCACCATGATGCTTCTGCTACCAGCACGGCTGAAGAATTTGAAGTTTGTGGATTTAAAGGGTGGCATTTGAGGGGGGAAGTGGGGAGAGGGGAAATGGAAAGGAAATCAGGGAAGTGGGGTGAGATGATGTTTCCAGACAGCTTTTTTCCACTGGTTCTCCCCTCTCTTTTCTTTCTATCCCCACTCCAGATGACCCCTGCTAACCCCTTCCAGCTTCCCTGCCGGGACTTGGGGCTCACAGTCTGCCCTAATCACATGAGCTGGCAAAACTGTCTGCTGGCCACTTGATTCCCTTTTCACTTTCCAGCATTTCTCTCCATGCTGGGATTCTCCTTTCACCAGCTAACCACAAATAGAAATAAACAGAGTGAAACACTTAAAAAAAGCAGACAGAAATATTTCACCAGCAAGACAGGTAGTGTCCTTCACTACCATTCACACTTCCATTTTACTGAAGATCTCACTACATGGTCTTGTGCAACTGTACATTTACTTTTTATATCTTAATGGGAATTACTTTATACAGAGAAAAGTTCATACTTAAAAAGCAGCCTCATGCTAGCTTTTCCCTTACACATGAAGAAAAGATGAATGAAGATACAAACAGAATTTACAGTATGACAAAGTGCAAGCAGGTAACCTTTCAGCAGACCGTAAAGCCAAGCCCACAAGCTATGAAATCCTGAACTTCCTGTGTGTCCAACCCTCCCTTCTCAGCTGCACCCTGGGAAAGCTGTCAGAGCCCAGCATGTGCCACTTGCCTGGCACAGTTCTGTCTTCAGGCTGCCCAGTCACCACCCTCAGGAGCTGAAGGCATCAGCCTTGTGCTTGCCAGGCTGGATGAGCCTGCTCAACCCTTGCTCTGCATGGCAAAGGTGCCCTGGCTGCAGCAACACCTTCAAAAGTAAACCACAGCTGGCCTGTGAGAGCTCCCTGTGAGCTCCCCACAGCACATCTGTACCTCACAGTCTTCCTCGCAGCCTCTCGCCGTAGGACCACGGATTCCTCTCTGCCACAGACCCTTGAGGAAGTGGGGCTGAGTAACATTTCCTTCTGGTTATTGCGACAGACGCATGCGCATCTGCCAAGTATGAGCCGGCCGGCCAGGCACAGCCCTGGGCTTTGGCAGATACAGCTGCAAAATAAACATCACTACGAACCAGCAGAGTTTATCCCTGCTTCTGGGTTCCTGTCATTGCACTTACCTAAAGCAAATTCCTCACAGCCTTCCAGTAGCTGGGGATGTTCAGGACCTTCTTCTTTCTATAATGAGCAGCTTCTGCTGAACATCATTCTTGGAAATCCAACAGCTTTTATTTGCATTGTAAATTGACCCCCCCCAAATCTCGGTGCAGAAAGCGGATGCATAGTTCATCCTGCTGTCCCCAGGGTTAGTGATGGCACTGGTGGGGGTTTTGCAGCAAGCAGAGCCACACTGAGCCACACAAACCTGTGTGTGCTGAGCACAGAGCCCTGCAAAACAGGCTCGCTCAACCCTCAGAGCTCTGCACCATCTCAGATGTTTGTGTTCCTGTACCTTGAAGTCTGATCCTGCTCTCTGCTCTTCCCACACAAATCAGACAAGGCTTAGGAGCTTTCCAGTCTGACCTCCAGCCTTTCAAAAGCTGACAGAGCTTCCCAGCAGACCTCTGAGGTATTAAGCTTAACAACAAGTCAAGTAATCTTAACCATGCAAACTTGTTAAGCCAAAAGCATTTCTTTGGCCTTTTTTTTTTTTCAGAAAGTATGCACTTTGACTTCATTCTATAGACATAGCATTAAAACAAACAAACCCAACAGCAACAAAAGACCTCTAGCACACACACACACACACAAAAAAAAAAAAAATAAAAAATAAAAAAAACAACACCACAAATGTGATTATGAAGTTGAACTCTCACTTCTGGCCATTCTTGAAGCTCTTAGGCCTTCTGAGGCCTAAGTAGACATGAGACAGCAGCTTTAGGAGGAGTGTTCTGACTTGGTAGAAAATGTTTACATATCTTTGCTGGGAGCAGGACACCATCTGCTCTAAAAACAAACAACTGTCCACAAACTGGAAACTCGAGATCACTGTAAACTGATACCTTGAACATTGTATTTTTTATTTTTATCACTTTTAATTGCAACGTCATCTGTGGAGCTGTTGAACTTCTGATTTCTCAACCATGCTACTACATCTGTCTGCATTTCCAGAGTCTGGGAATGGAATAGGTCTTGGAGCAAACATCCTATGCATAGCCCTGCAAGATCATATTCCTGCACAGTCAGCAGGGGCACCCAAGTGTGGTTTCCTGACATATGTCAAATGATTTATCCTTTATAAAGAAACCATGGTCCAGCAGGTAGCGTCGCTTAGTTTCCTCCCAGGAATTTAAATTCTTGTTCGCTTTTCCTCTTCAGAGGAAACAGACAAAGAAGAGCCATTTCACCCTTTGTCCCTCTGTGACACACAGCAGCTCTGTTGCAATTTCAGAGGCTCCAAGGTTTGATGTGGGAGTTCTGATGCTACAACACATGCACACTGCGCTCACATGGGTCTTGCAGCCTGGGACCAGGCTGGCAGTACCTCATGCTTCTACCCTAAGATGTGTAAAATCCCCCAAATCACAGAGAATCACAGAATCACTGGGTTGGAAGAGACCTTCAAGATTGTTGAGTCCAACCCAACCCTAACGCCTCAGCTAAACCATGGCACCAAATGCCATATCCAGTCTTTCTTCAAACACATCCAGGGATGGTGACTCCACCATCTCCCCAGGCAGAACATTCCAGTATTTTATCACCCTTTCCATGAAGAACTTTTTCCTAACGTCCAACCTAAATTTCCCTTGGCGCAACTTCAGACTGTGTCCTCTCGTTCTGTCAGCTGCTGCCTGGAGAAAGAGACCGACCCCCACCTGAGTGTGATAGGTGTTAAGGTCACCTCTGAGTCTCCTTTTCTCCAGGCTAAACAACCCCAGCTCCCTCAGCCATTCCTCACAGGGTTTGTGTTCCCAGCCCCTCACCAGCCTCGTTGCCTCCTCTGGATGCGCTCAAGCGTCTCAACATCCTTCCTGAACTGAGGGACCAGAACTGGACACAGCACTCATGGAGCGGCCTCACCAGTGCTGAGTACAGGGGAAGAATGACCTCCCTGCTCCTGATGAACACACTATTCCTGATCCAGGCCAGGAGCCATTGGCCTTCTTGGCCACCAGGGCACACTGCTGGCTCATGTTCAGCCAGCTGTCACCAGAACCCCCAGGTCATTTTCTGCCTGGGCACTGTCCAGCCACACTGTCCCCATCCCATAGCACTGGGTTATTGTGGCCAAAATGCAGGACTCAGCACCTGGACTTATTAAACTTCATCCCATCTCTCTGCAGAGCCATCCTCCCTTCCAACAGACGACACATGTTCCCAGCTTAGAGTCATCTGCAAATTTACTAATGAAGGACTCAATACCCTCAACCATGTCATCAATAAAAACACTGAACAGGACTGGCTCCAGCACAGACCCCTGAGGGACACCACTGGTGACTGGCAGCCAGCTGGAT